TGGACCCCTTCGTTTCGCCACGCGGGTCCGGCTCCCGAACGGCTGGTGGCCGGAGGCCGGCCACGCTGCTCGGTTGCGCGGTGCGCCGGCAGGCTGGCCAGCGCACGCGAGGCTGCGCGGCGGGGTACGTGCGCGTTCGCATGCAGCTGGAGCTCTGCTCGCAGCGGTCGCCCGCGCCACGCGCCACGCGCCCACGCCTCGTCGTTACCTCTGCCCGCACGCTCGTTCCGCTTGTTTCGCCGCTCGCGTTGGCTGGCGCCGTGGCGGTCACGCAATGGACAGCAGGACGGGTCCGCGCAAATCTTGTCCCTGAACAGAGCACGCCCATGCGGTTCTTTCGTGTCCGTTTCCTCGCTCGCCGTGGAAAAAACTCGTCGCCGCGTAGAATGTAGCTTGCCAGTCCATTATGTCGCCATCGTTACTACTTGCTGCTAGTCATGTTTTACGACTAATACATATACCGATCTTCCAGCATTTCGTTCATGAAAGTTCACTGCCTACTTGCCTACGCGCACTATCTCTGTGTGGGGGCGAGAGGTAGATTGCATGAACGAAGAAAGAAGGGACACTTTTAGAGCGGCAGGGCGCACAGCAATACAGCATGACGAGACGAGGGACCGGGACCAGGACCAGCACCAGCACCAGGCACAATCTCGCTCGTCGTATCAACGCACTCGCTCGTTCGCGCCCAGAAACTGCTGCGGAAGGAACCTTGTTCGGCAGACGGCAGTTGTGCACGGCAGCGGTTTCCGTAGCCCGTACGCCATGCACACCTTGCACAGATATGGGAAAAAGCATCTACGCATAACGTGATTGACGAGCTCCTTCTACGCGCACAAAAGTTGCATGCGTCAAGGTACCACAAAAGAGAGACAACTTTGACATGTCAAAAGGGCCTTGTGCGACGTTGCACGGGAATGGAATGTTAGGCAACCTCGTCGTCGTCATAGTAGTAGGCTACTGGTAGTGGCTGTATGCACGCCTCCTGGTCTCCAAACGAGCCAACCTATTTGCGTGCAAGCGCAAGCGCAGACGTTTCGACGCCGCGCACGTTGAGGCGGAGGGTACGTACAGTACAGACCCGCCGTATCAGCAGGCACGTTGACGAGTCCTGTCTTTCCGCAAGCGGGGACTGCGTGTTGACCCGCGCCAACCCGGTGCGTGCGGGGTAACAAGAGGCCAAGGTGGAGGCGGGTCCCACGTGCAGCGACGCAGCCGCCGCGCGGGGCGAGAACCCTAGACACGGGACAACGCCCATCGTTTATTACTGGAGATCTCTTATTACTGCGACAACAACCGGTTTCCCCCTCCTCTCGTCTCTTCTCTCTCTCTCTCTCTCCCTTCCTCGAGCAGCTCCATGCGCATGCTCGCCACGCCTCATTGGATCCCAGGAAGCAATCGCGCTGATCGAGGCCGCCGAGCGGTGCGGATTAGGGTGCGAGGCTGGCGCTAGCTCGAGCTCGCGGCTGCCGCAAGGTCGGTGGCTGCTGGGTCGCGGCGCCTGGTGGTTGCAGCCCTAATCGCTGCTCAGGTTTAATTCCGATCTGTTCCTGCTTCGTGTATGGTGGGATGGTGCTTAGGGACTCTGGTTTTCTCAGGGTGGAATGCTTTGCTGGGGTCCAATTTAGGTTTGCTTCGTTCGATGATAGACTTGTGCGAAGTTGGAGCGTACCCTCTCTCTCGGTTTTCATTTTTCGGCGCTCGAGGCTGCGAATTGAGCTGAATCCGGATCGAATTTGCTAACGATTGAGCTGTTATGGTTGCGGCGGCCTTGCTGAAATTTGGGGGGTTCTCTGCTTAGGTTTAGGGCGATTGGGGTTAGGCGCCGCAAATTGGGAATCCGTTGCGTCCGACCTTCATGGCTCATCCCGATCGCATTTAGGTAACTTGGGTTCTTTGATTTGTGCTGCATCTGAAGCATTTGGTTTCGGAACTGGTTTATCCTAACCTGATGGTTTCCTTTTATTTGTGCCTCCATACGTGGGCTTGATTTGGATTCAATACGTGCTTGTTTCAGTTTCTGGTTTGCAGCCTGTATTGATTGCTTTGGCGCCAGCGATAGGGCTCCCGGCTCCAATTGGCAGCGTGGCTAAATATGCCTATTGCTTTAGTAGGTTATTTTTATGTGGTTTGCTTGTTTCCGTTATCTAGAGTGACAGATCTTTTCTTCCTGTCGAATTTTGAGCTTGGTCTGATCTTCTAACTTAGGTTACCTATAAATCTGGTACTAAATTTTGTGTTTTCATGCTTAGATTGGTTGAATCGAACGCTATTGGTGGTTCTTGCTAGCATCATAGCTCAAAGATTTTCTTTTGTTATCTGTATTTTGAATAGAGAAGGGCGGGCCTGGTGCAAGCGGTAGAGTCTTACTGCCTGTGACCGGAAGGTCCCGGGTTCGAGTCGCGGTCTCCTCGCATTGCACAGGCAAGGGTAAGGCTTGCCAGTGAGACCTTTCCCAAAGACCCCGCACAGAGCAGGAGCTGCACTGGGTATGCCCTTTATCTGTATTTTGAATAGTAGAGCTCAGTCTTTAGCATTTCATTTTGAATCACTTGTGCTGATATTTCTGATGGATACATTTGACTTATTTCCTTATTGGGAAATTTGAGTTTCTAATGCTTCAACTGTGATGAAACTTGTTTATTTTGTTCAGACTGCCTCAGAACCTAATATTTTGCAGTTTTCTTGTGACAGGTGCTGGAAAGGTGACGAGTATGTCCTCAATACGCTTTGGATATATTTGAAGCCAGCTCCTCTGTTTTGGTAATTATATTCAAGTTATGCTGGACAAAAGGACTTCTTATTTTCCACTTTCTGCTTGTCAAATCCTTGGGGTTATTTCTTATTCCTATCTCTTATTAAATTTTATCTAGAAGGATGATACAATGGTTCTATGAATTTCAAACTTCATAGATTAGCGGTATAGCTACAATGATACTAAACATTAGGAAGCTGTTAGGGTACAAATCCCTAAAAATGTTCTTAGATAAGATTTTATCTAGTTATGTGTCTTGACTGGGGTTTGTACTCAACTGTATGATGAACAGTTGTATGATGAACTTCAACTGTATCCTAAAATGCCAGGTCATAGTTCAAGCAGAGTTACAAAGGATATATAGCTGCAACTAAAAGCAGAGCAACAAAGAGTAAACCGCCAAATCAACTTGTCTTTGAAAGCCCCAGTGTCAAAGATGCGTAGGCTATTCAAACAAAAATCACACTTTGCAAATAGTAAATATATTTATTGAAGTTCTTGCTGTCTAATATGACACCAGTTTCTCGTAACATGTGTATTACCAGCCAACCTTCATATTCTCATTCTGTCATTGAAGCTTGCAACATGTATGACTAATTAACCTACTATGATCAGTAGAGCATATTTTGCTACCAAATTGGTCCATTTTATTAGATTCCTTCTTGTAACAACAAAATAATATAAGAGGCACTGGAGTTCACGTGACCTTTTGCAAAGTCTGATGCAGTGTACTGCTTACTATCCAAGATTAATGGGTCACTATAGTTTATGAATATATTGGTATTGATATTTAGAGCAGCTACCTTTACTGTCAATTTTAGAACAGATGGTGGGCTTGTTTGGCTTATAAGCCGTACTTTTTTAGCCAACGAACATTATTTTTCTCTCTCACCAAATCAGCCAACGGTACTTTTAGCCATGGCTTATCAGCCAAACAAGCCCAAGCGAACAGGGCGCTTGAGTTTCTATACCTTTTATGAGAGGAGCCTTAAATGTGTATACGTGACAGTCAACTGATACTCCAACTTTGTGGCATGATTTGGGTTTGGAATACACCAGATAAGTTGAACTAGCTCTAATGCCTCTAGATCATAAAATGGCCTACTTAAATCATGCTCCAGATACTCTTGTACACATGGTTTTAATCTACATAAATATTTGGTAAGATCTCCTATTTGTTCATAGATCACAGGGGGAAATAGTTTTTATAACATAGATAACTTAGTATGGTGATTTTGCTGACATATTTACACTAGTCATTCACTCATCAACTCCGCTTTTCAGCTTTATGTCTCACTTGTATTTCCATACGCTGCTTACGATAAAAGGTTTTTGATTGATATTTGCAGGCACCATTTGCTGGGATTTTCTTATGGTGTTTAGTAGGCAGCCATGAAAAGGAAGTCGGATATGCTTCGGTAATTAAGTCTAACCTTGTATACTAATTAGTAAGTCTTAACATTGCATACATGGAATGGAAGTATGAACATTATTAATTACTTGTTTTGATACACTTTATAAGTTCTGTGTTTTATATTAGTTCAGTTGGGTCTTGGTTCGGTTTTTACATCCAAACGGCAGGTCCGAACAAACTGAATAGGCAGCCTTTATCCCTATCCGTGGTATAATTTTGAATTGCTAATAAACATTGTATGATATTTTTTCTGCAAGATAACCATTGTCTTTATTTTTTCCCGTATGAATCTATGGAAGCTTCTTGTTATTGGCACTAAAGTGAGGTGTCATTCTTGGCCAATATAGGGTTGTCCATCAAATCCATTAGTTTCTATTTAGAACGGGGCCATCTACTCAGCCATAACTGAGTTGAAATGACCTAGTTTCGTTTCCACCTAGAATTGGGTAACATATAATCGTCACAAGCTAGCAATGCTGTCCAGAGAATGTCAATTCGTGTTAGAAAGCCTTGATGTATGGTTGTTTGCTATGTTTATGTATTGCAGCACTTTCAGCTTCATGTTTTTCATGCTTTGATCTGATATAATTATGCAATGGTGCAACACAGAACAGGAAATGGACATCAGGCAATGGGTGCAACTGCAAGGAGAATAGATTAACATCACAGGAGATGGACATCAGGCAATGGGTGCAACTGCAAGGAGAATAGATTATCATCACATCAGTGGTCAGCGACAAGATCCATTAACCACTCAAGGTCCACAAAAGCCTTTAGGTGCAGTTTACTACTCTCCATCTCACTATTTACATTTCACTACATTATGTACAATCATCCAACTGTTGCCATGCGCCCAAACTTGCCTGCACCACCAACAGATGATCCAATCTCATCCTTGCACCTCCCAGCCGCACTAACCTCCATTGTTCCATCACCATTGCTACCCCCACCCCCACGTCCTTTCCCTTTGCGAAAAGCACACTTTCTGCAGATGAAATTTTCAGGGACTTCCTCAAAATCACTTATCCCCGAGCACCTGGTATGCTGCCAGACTCCACATATGTCACATGCTAGCATCCGTTCCCCATCATCATCCTTGGCACCGCATGAGCAGTCCACCGTCCAGTTCTCCAAACCCCTCTCCATCCTGAACTGTACAATCCTCCTGTAATCCCCAGTGCAACGTCCCCTTACTCGAAGCAACTGGCCTGATCCAAGCACATGATTCACGGGGGTTGTGTCACTGAAGTTTGGGAAGTCAGGGAGCTGTTCAGTCTGGAAGCTTTGGAACATGAGGTACGTTTCTTGGAAAGCCTTTGAAGCCTGTACTTTCAGGTCACCTAGGGTAGCACTTGCTGGTAGAAGTACAAGTTCCTCTGGAGGTGTTGTGTAATCTTTTGGGTGATCAAGCAGTTCAATGGAGCACCTCACACAAAGCAGGTATGGGTTTGAAGGAGTCCGCAGTGCATGCTCATCATAATGTTTGATGAACTGCTTGCAATCAATAATCTTTGCTGCTGCGCTGTGAGCTGATGCACCAACCACCTCTGGCTGTGAAGACAACATGGACTCTGGGTTCAGCAAAGCATCATAGAGGAACCTAAGATCATGCAACAGTTGTTCAACAGAAGGTCCAAATGTAGCTGCATTTGCTGGAGACCGAATGGAGGAAGATTCCAGCCTGCTTGTCATGAAACAATTTAGTCAAGGAAGTTTCCAGATCAAGTTCAGCAATTTTACAGAGAGAAAGCAAACAGTGCTCACCTGTACTCAATTGCACTAGTCTCAGCATTGCAGCGGACAGCAACAGAAAGGCCATTATCCAGTTGTTTCCCACCCAGTTCTCGGAGAGAATAATCAAGCAGCTCCTGCGAATCAACAGCCTTCGACGCAGCACCCCTAAGTGCGCGCCAAGATACCCACTGTCCAGTTTGGACAACCTGGAGAACCTTGAGCATTGCACCTTCTGCTCGATGTAAATCTTCTTTAGTCCATGCACATAGCTCATTAGATGTAAGCTCCTTGTGCTTGTCAGTTGTGGGTTTTGACATCTTTTGACCTTGATGAAGGAGGTGCATAATGAAGCGGAAAAGATCCCGGAGGGTCACTAGTTGGCGATCAGAGAGCGCCCAATAAAGAGCAATTGTGTTCTGCAATGCAGTCCTAATTGGGCTGCGGTGTGAGTAGTACAGCGCCAGGTTTATGCTGGAAAGCATGTCTACTGCATTTTGGTAGGTGTCTGAGGTGAGGGCAAAGCTGCCAGCACCAAACTTGTATCCCCATTGGCCATACCAAGGGTGCCCGCTTGTTACTGCATGCAGAAGCCTATAGTCCATTCCATGTTTCTTGGATATGTCCATGACAGTTACCTTCCTGCAGTAATAGAAATGATAGTTATTAGGTTGCAGAAAACATCATGGAAAGAGGTCAATCCCAATCAAGCAACTGCTCTGCTCTTTGGGCCAGCGAAAATTCCATTTACCTCACATGTAACACCTTGCACAAGCGATCCCACAAGCTCATTATGTCACGGCCAGTGAGGAATCTTGAGCCACCTTCACGCCCATTTACCCTGAGAAGGTGCCCATAACCATTTGCATGCACCACAGCGTGCAGCAAGTGAGATGAGTCATCCAGATGCAGATATGCACACTCTTCGACCTCCTCACCATCCATATCGAAATTGCACAGAGCACACCTGGAGATGACAGTGCATTCAGAGTAAGAGTATGTTGCATATTTGGAGCATCACAAGGTTACTTGGTGAATCCTTCATTCTGAGGAATTGTCTATGCCGCCTATATGAATAGAAATAGAAACACTTCTGCGCTATCTTATATTACAAATGCAAACATGCCCGACCCATCCAAACACAAACCTATATGAAGTTCCCTACATTCAGATTGGATCCATCCAGATCATTATAGGCATCGATGGCATGTTCCATTCCCCTTCGCTGTTATGCAAGAATGTATATTATTTTTCTGAAATGTGCCTCCCACCTTGATTCTCCAGCGGCCATGGGTGTTCCGCAACGGAGGCAGCAGGTGCGCTGGCGGCCAGAAATACTGTCGTTCTCGATGATGAAATGGTACCGCTTCACGCAGACCGGGTGCCCACTCCAACCTGCAACCAAACAAACAAATCAGACGCTAGATTCCATTGCAGATGCCATGTTGTATGTAACAGTATGTGACAATTCAATCAATCATTCTAATGGGTGTTGCTCACTGAAAGCAACAGCCTAACGATTGGCTGACAAGACGAAAAGCTAGCAGAAATTTCAATGAAAAAACTGACCTAAGGCGGTGTTATCCCCTCCGCAAAAAATCAATAAAATTTCAAAGGAAATAGTGCGGCGTTGGATTTCAAAATCTAGCGCTCAATAAATCGACCGACAAGAAAAAAGAGCAGATCGGCGAAAAAAAACTAATGGCTTAGTCCATTGAATTCAAAAAAATCAGAGAAATATCAGAGAAAAAATGACGAAAAAGAGAGGAAAGCAACTCACCCACGACTCTGCACTGGTCGCAATACACGGATCGGGATCGGAGCACATCCTCCTCAACGACGTTGAGCTCCACCCTGCCGCCGCTCTCTTCCTCCCCCGTCTCCCCGACCGTTAGGGACACCCTCCAGATCAGCAGGTGCGGCGGGCCGGCCGCGGCCGCCGGAGAGAAGATGGACGGCAACGGGAGCAGCCTCGCATGCTTTGCGAGGAACCCCCTCACCGCCTCCCTGAACGTCCCAGCCGCCCCGCAATCTCCGGCCGCCGGGAACCTAGCGAAGTCCGTGGCCTCGACCCGCGCCCTCGCCCTCTTCAGCGGCCGGCCGTTCACCACCATCTCTCCCTCCGCCACCGTCGGATCCCCTCAGATCTGCAACTCACCGTCGTCTTCCTCGTCGTGGATTAACCGGATCGGAACTCAGGTTAGGGCTCGCGGCGGCGGCGGCGGCGAGATAACGAGGGGGAAGGTGATGGGGTCGATTCCTTCGAGGTGAAGCACGATCAGGTACGCCTGGTCTTTGTGCACCAGAGGGATGGAATAAATTTCGGGTCCACGTAATCGTGCAGGGCGTACAGTGGAGTGGGTCTATGCATGTTATGGTGGCATGGGCTCGTCAGGTCGTGGCAGAGCGCTAACCAGGGTTAATCGGGGGTGGGGTGGGGTTGGTGGTTGGGTTCGAGACCTTTCCGAAAAGAGAGCGCGAGAAATGGGAGGTAATAAAGGCTCGGGGGCAGTATCGTCATTTTGGACGCATGGCTCGATGGGAGGTCGAGTACGTCACATCAACGTACCCTTGTGTTGGTCAAATTACGCAACTGCCCCATCGTCCGCAGAGCTAATTTTTTTCGATCCGTTGGCACCATGATATGATACACAACACACGTTCACACGCACACTTTCTCAATCAAAACGACAATGATACTTTATTTGAAAAAGTATACTCTCCTGCTACTATGTTGCAGGTACGGAGTACGGAGTATAATGTAAACACATGTTGTCTTTAGTTGGCAAATATACTTTTATTATTGTTTAATAATAAATGTATTTTTAAGTCATATGGCATCTAGCATTGGTAGATTTTTCTACTTTCTCTATTTCTAAAATGCAAGTACTACATACTAGTACAGCTTTTGATAAAGGCACATATACTGTATAATTCTATGGACTACAGTAGCGTTGATCTCACCAATATATATTCTAGAAGTCCATTTTATTTTAGGACAGAGGAAGTAGTTGTTGAATATTTCCATAATGCTGCAATATAAGTTCCTCTCGTCCATTCAGTGTAATTCACGTATATAGGAGGGGCGGGGGAGCTGCAAATGCAATATTTTGGTAAGGTGGCTCACTTTGCTATTTTTAAGAATCAATATTTATAACTAATGTAACCATGTTAGAGGTACAGTCCATACTTGTTTTCCTTTCAAAAAAATCGTAGATACAGTCCATACTTGTTTTCCGTTCAAATTGTAGATACAGTCCAATACTTGTTTTCCGTTCATATCGTAGATACAATCCATACTTAGTGTTCACTGTCGAAATATCCAATCATCTCGGCTTTTTTATCTAGTTAATTGTAACTAAACTAACAAGCAAAGTGTTTTTTTTTTGCAATTTCTGATTTTAAACTTAGTGTTCAAGGAAAAAAAAACAAAGTTTGTTTAACTTTGTGTTTGCTTAGATCAGCTAAAATAAATTGCTAGCAACTGAAAAAGCTCTAGCTGATCCAAACAGCCTAGCTTATAATCTAGCTTATAGCTTACTTTGAACTATTTAAACCAATTTCTTTTAGGAGGTGAATAGATTAGCCGAATTATTCACAGCATCGCTCTCCATGCGGTTAGTAAATGGAGAAGAATGTGGTTAGTAATTGGGGAAGAACGGGTTACATCTACTCATATTATGGACATGCATATTTTGAACATTATACCACATCAAATTGTATATATGTTGATAAAATGACAAAACGTGGTAAAGACTCTAAAAATAAACATAAACATAAACAAAGGGAATAGTGGCTACTTTAGTACACGGTTAGGTCCATTTAAATTAGGCAGAGACTAATAAATGTTGCTCGTGGATTCTAAACTGGAGTTAAGGCAGCACCGTCTGTATTGGTTGGAACATTTATTGGACTCAATCGGATAAAAAAACTACTCCCCTAGGGCCTTGTTTAGATTTATGTTTGGAATCAGTATTTGGCACGGTAGCACTTTCGTTTGTATTTGATAATTATTGTCCAATCATAGCTTAACTAGGCTCAAAAGATTCGTCTCGTAATTTACAATCAAACTGTGTAATTAGTTATTTTTTTTATCTACATTTAATACTCTATACATGTGTCCAAAGATTTGATGTGATGAAGAGAGAGTGAAAAAACTTACAATCTAAACAAGGCCCAGGTCTTAAAAACATGTCGTTGAAGGCAAATAGCAAAGAGAACCTAAAACAAGTCGTTTGGGAGCTACGAAGCCAATTTGAACGAAACTGACCCTGCTGCTTGTTACTCCGTACTCCATGCGTGGACTGCATTAACAGCGTGAAACTCTTGGTCGCTTCGTCTCCTGTGCTGTGCACGACACCACGAGCACTTCCCAACGCTGCAGCCGCAAGCCGGCAATGGTTTGAACGAGTGTCGCTCACTCTCTTGCTCGCAACACCATTTTGCCCGTAGCTCACGTAGTTGGACAACACATGACCTGCGGTGGCGCGGCGACGTCAAGCTTCCTATTGAGATGGAGGACGGGCGAACACTACCGGGCAACACCATTTTACACGGGTGCGGCAAGCTTGCAATTGCATGCTCGTAAACAAAAGGCGTCCCGTTTTTCTGGAAAAAACCTTGCATGCTCGATCGTAAACAAGAAACAGTGCTTCGCAAAAGGAAAAAAAACATAGCGAGTTTTACTGTGAAAAATCCACTGCAAAAAGTTGATATACCTGGGAGAGGAACCCAGCTGGAGTACTTCAAATGTGGTGGCGTTAACCACAGAGAGGCAAGGGAGCTTAATTTTCGTAATGCAGCGAGACGTTATTTAATAAGGACAGAACAGGGAACAAGCACCCTAATTAAACACTCCTTGGCATGTGAGATGATGTCCAAAACGATATGTTTTTAGGACCTGGAGGGAGTAGACAGAGAGAGATAATTATAGATTTAAAACCTGGAATATGGTCTCCATTGGAACGTGGGATTTCCCATGTTGAATGCATTTTTCTATGAAAATTAACAAATTTATATGAACTTCATGTTAGCTTCCTATAAAATTACTGTGTTCAAAAGGGGTCATAAAGTTAGACTTGCTTTCATCGGCTACAACTTTTACAAGCTGGATTGTAAAGGCCGCTAACCGTGAACTGAACACAGCTCATGTTCATGTTCTGTTCCTGGGCACGGGCAAGCGCCGCCTCGACTTGCTAGCCTAGGCGAGCTAAATTCTTGCTAGCTCAGACCCCGAGGAGCATAGCTTGAAAACCAAACGCGTTAATTGTATTTACTAGCTAGGCAACGTGAGTTTTTGACACCTCACCCGAAGACCCAACCATGCCCTGTTTCTTGTGGTGGAACTAGAATGAGGCCGCGTTTAGTTCGGCCCCAGATTCGACGCCGCCGGAATCCTAGGTACTGTAGCGACACTGTTATGCACTGTAGCGTTTGTTTTTATTTGGTAATAATTGTTCCATCGTTGACTAATTAGACTTAAAACGTTCGTCTCGCAAAGTACAACCAAACCGTGCAATTAGTTTTTGATTTCGTCAATATTTAGTACTCCATACATGTACCGTAAGTTTGATGTGACGGTGAATCTTCTTTTTACATAGTGCCAAAATCTGTAAAATGAGGTAACTAAACAAGGCCTGAGTCTACTCGTATTCAAATCGCTTGACTTTGACATGACTACGAGAGTACTCGTATTCATATGGATTTTTTTTTCAGATTTTACGAGCTATATTATAGTCATAAGTGACATGTCCGATCGAAGAAAGTACCTGAAGCCATATTTCCATAGGTGAAGCTAACCGGGGGTGATGAACAATGGCACATGTAGTGAAAATGCAATTCGGTGCCGAAACTTATGTTCCTATTAATTAATAAAACAATACTATCCCCATTCTAAAAAAATTAGACTCTTATATTTGATTAGGTCTATAAAAAATATTATTAACATTTATGTTAAAATAAATTTATTATAAAAACATATTTTATGGTGCATCTAATTGTATTTATTGCGTATTATAGATATTAGTACTTTAAATATTTGATTAAACTTGAGATTCATGAACTCTTTAAAAACGAGAATGACTATCTTTTACTACTTTCTTTGTTTAAAATAATTGTACATTTATTATAAAACAGATTCTATTATTAACTTAATGGTTTTTATTATTGTTGCAGAAAAGGCACTGAAATTCATGCTAGTTATGCATGCCCGGAGCAGACAAAGCTGCAGAACTCAGAAGGGAGTCAAGCTGCAACAGAGGAGTTGAGGTGTTCACTTCAGCACGGGAGGGCATATGTGGAAACTCAAACCGACCAAAGTCATTGGTCCGTTGATGGACGAAAATGCCCGTCCAAGTGAAAAGCTACCCCCGTCTCCAGTTTCCTGCGGCATCACCGGGCGCCCAGCCAAAACGCCCAAGAGTTCTGGCCATCCGGGCTCCTCTCCCTCGCGCCTAAATTTAGCGGGACACGTGGCTCAAGGATGCTGGTTGGACCGTTCGAGCGCAACGACTGCTAATTTAAAAGGGATCAGATAAACGGATGATTATTTTAGGAAGGATCAGATACTGCAATTGTTTATTGATCCGGATGGATGGAGAGACCAGAGCTAAACCGGGTTTAGAGGAGGCTTTGAACACGGACGTTGCTAGCTAAGTTCACCCACATCCATGCCCCACAATATTGTTCAGTCCAAGAACCATCAATAGTAAGTTCTTTTTTAGTCGCGGGGGGTTCCCCCACCTGATTCATATATTGGCCCAAAACGGCCCGTTGTGTAGTTTTACAAGGCATTTTGTACATGACACCAAAACGCCCCAGCAAGGGCGATCGGTGGCACAACCACCAGTGCACCAAAAGAGAGAGAAGACTACAACACGGCAAAGAACTCTTCGACGATGCCTCTAGGGAGGTGAATGACGAGTAGACGTAATCATCGTCCGCCGAGCAGAAGCTTAGCAGGGCTTTCGCCCGAGTCTTGTGCCGAGGAGAGCCGCAATGGCTGGACTGACCAAGGAGAGGAGCAGGAGGTTCTTCGGCGATGCCTTCAAGAAGGAAAATACGCCCGATGGCGATCCTCGTCGCTGGCCCAGCCAAGAGCTGAGCAGAGCTTTCA